GAGAAAGAAGGACATTCGTGAAAAAGCCCTGATGGCAATGGGGATGGAGGAACAGTGCAAATCCCCCAGTACATCAGCTGTCTGGGTTAGGGTCTGCCGATTTGTATTTATATAGCCATAACCTGGGCTTCTACCTGCTGATCTAGTTCCCCACACAACCACAGTAAACCGGCTTATGAAAGGGACAGGTACTTGACATTAATTTTTCAGTTTTCCCGAAAACTCTCCTGGATTGCAAACTGCTCCAATATGGACAACCTTACTTGCTTTCTGTCTGTGCTTTTGCAACACCAAATATCACATCTTTGTATGCAGGTACACTACAAGGGAGAACAATGCCCTAGCTTGTTCCAGTACTAGGTGGTTTCCCGGGGTACAGAATTTTCAGTGTGAAAATTGGAAATTCCTGGGTAAACCAAGATGAGTGGATCTCTTCACCAGGAATAACAAGGGAATCCCTTGTCTTTATCTCTGTTTCAGGTTGTGCTGGCTGGCCAACTACGAGGGTATCTTAGACCCCAGGTGCCCAGCCCTGTGAAGTCAGGTAAAGAGTATAGCAATCTCCAGGAGACATCGGGGGCTCTTGGTCTGTCAAGATACATGGTATTCACATCCAGTCAGCTGCAAAGCATTGGGAGATTGTGGTTCAGGTTCCTGGGACCAGCATAGCTAGGAGCCTGAGAGGCAAGGCAGTGACCTCCCTTGTGTGCTTCCTTTATCTTTACTTAAGGGACTCTAGCCTGAGCATGACAGTCATGGCTCTGGCAGGTCCTGCCCTTCCCTATTCCTTCTGCTTTGCTAAAAACCATTAGATTATATTCCTTAAACTAGCCACCAAGGTTCATTCCCTTATTTGGCCACTTTGCCCTCCCAAGGCTAGCTATCAAAGTATTGAAGCCCAGCAATCAAAAGCTCCCTTTGGCTCACTTAATTAACATTATCAATCAAAACAAACCACTCACCTTAACACTGGGTTTGCCCCTTTACATTTATAAAGTGCCATTTGCCTATGGGCCATGTCTGTCTCCCCTCTATCCAGAGGCAGTCCTTTGTCCCTTGGGACAAATATCCCTTCCCCATCTCCATTGTTCCTTTTACCTTCTCCCTCATCCTCTATCTCTTGTCTTTGTATCTGATTCCCTGCCTTTTATTCCTCTGGGGCAAATAAATCTCCTTTGTACTAAGAACTTGGTCTTGGGATGTTGTGCCGAATACCTATCCCTTCCTGAGAAAGTGAGCCTAGCATCATGGAGGGAGCTCATAGGCTGGTAAACAGAGCAGTGGGGGGAACTGAGTCAGAGAGAGGAAAGTGCTGTCAGAAAGGAGGCTATGAAGGGTTGCCATGTAGGAAAACAGGTGGGTCACTTGGGCACAGAGGAGGGAAGAAATCTAGATGACAAGAGCTTAAGGCCATAAGAGGAGAAGATGGGGAAACAACCCAGCTGGGAGATTGGATTTGGAGAACAGTGAGGACTTGCTACAGTGTAGTTAGGATTGACATCTTGGCTCCTACAACATATCTGAGAACTCCAAATATGAGTGAGCTGCTTCCTATAATTTGCTTGTCCTTATTTTTGGCTTTAAGTTTGGTGTCACTTGCTTTGTTGGTTCCCAGGAGCCTAGAACTTCAGAAAGCCAAGAGTGTTCTGGAAGATAGTGGCCTTCTTGATTCTTCAACTCTGGGGTCAGAGGTTTTTTTTTTTTTTTTTTTTTAATCTTGTTTCTCAAGAGAACCCTTGTGCCAGATCCCAGTTCTGCATAGACAGGCTGACAGTTGGGGACATTGGAAAGGCTTGGCTGTCATCTGCTTTCTTGTGCATTTCTAACTCTTGGGGACACAATGTACCCATGGCATCTACAGTAAGTCCTGCTGTTTCTATACAATTCTAGTCATAAGAATGTTTTAAAATAGACCCACAGTTCATAGCTTCTGCTTGTGGGCCCCAACTTTTGTGCTTTGCAACTTCACAGAAATCTCATTCTTGTCTCTTAAAATCACTTAAATATTTTAGGACAACTGTCTTGCCTCCTGTACTGTTTCTTCCCTTCTTTTCTTCTTCCTCCCTCCCTCCCTCTCTCCCTCCCTCCCTCTCTCCCTTCCCCCCTCTCTCTCTTTCTTTCTTTCTTTCTTTCTTTCTTTCTTTCTTTCTTTCTTTCTTTCTTCCTTTCTTTCTCCCAAATATGTGACAAGTTTCTGATTGACTATTTTCCCACTGTTCTAACCACATTTCTTTTTCATGCCAATGTGGCTCTTTGGAGGCAGTTTCAACACATTGATGTTGGTTATGGGGCTCTGCATATCTATTTTGAATAATAGGTGGACATCTCTGTCTCCCTTGAACTTCTATCAGTCTGTATTTCACCCACAGGTCTACTACTGACTATCACCTAGAAGTCACAGTACTGGGAATTTCCCTGGTAGAGCATCTTCCCCCACTGAAAGGTCTCAGAAAGCATGCAATCATCTGGGGCAGTTTGACTGTCGTATGGTTGATCTTAGTTTTCCTCATGGCCTCTGGGCTTTGTGAGCACAGATTGTGAAGGCTGGGTCAGAGCTCTGTGAGCGCAAGATTGTATGTAAGTTCCCATGACAGCTAGATGAAGGCTTTGCTAGCTGGTTGGCGTCGATGTGCCTATCTGAAATCTGCAGCCTGGAATCCTTCCCATCACTGAGGTCTCCCCTGTAATCACCAGCCTCTTCCTCTACCTGATGTGGTTGGACTGTCCCTGCTCATTAGCCTCGCACTTCCTCTCGAGGTCTGGGTATCTCTGATCTTGTGAGACTTGATAGCCTGCTAGAAGTGTCAGTGATAGGTCTTTTGAGGATCTTCTTGCAAGATTCATCTTGGGACCACTAGGTCCTGGAGAACAATAGAATTATTCTCAGTGTGGAAAATGGGTAAAAAACCCAAAAAACCAAAAACAAAACAAAACAAAACAAAACCCCCCAAAACTACTCAATTAGTCAGAAGGGCAAGAGAACTGTAATTCTAGCATATGAGGAACTGGAGAGGTCCAGAAGAGTTTGGAAAAAAGCTGTTGGTGAGATTGGCTGGCAGGAAAGATAGCTGTTGGCTCTCAGCTCACCGTCTCCCCAGCACCTGGCAGAGTGAATGGTATTTGGAAAATGATTGGGCACTGCTTATGAGGATGATAGAACATTGAAAAGACAGTTCCCCCAAATCTCCCTTGAGTGTCACATGCACTTTTGTTGGGCCATTAAGGGCTGTGTACAGAGTGACCTGGGTTACAATTCTAAATTACAGGGCCCTGTGCAAGCTCAAGCACTCTCCTTAACGGAGGGTGGCTGGCCACCCTGAAGCTGTGTGAGGATCTTGTTGAGAATGCTCACCAGGCTCAGGCCGTGGCCCAGACCACCCAGACATAATGCCCTAAGATTCCACATGGCCTTTTGAAACCTTTCCTCAAATTCTGTCCTATTTGTGTCCAATTTTAGAAAATCTCTAAGTTTGAGAGAACAGTATGACCCATGTGCCAGGAGGTTCTCAGTTGAGTTGAACAGCTGGGACATGGACTCCACATGGCCGCCTCTCTTCTCTCAAGACTGAGTAGGGAGGAGGTGGAGGATGGGTAAGGAGCTTCTGTTCCACTCTGAGGCCAAGCCTTGATACAGCTTCCCCACAGCCTGGGTCAGGGCACTCATGAAAAAATGGCCTTTGGCTCTTTCATGCCAGCTCTTGGCCTTTTTACACAAGCTCACAGCTCTGTTTTGTGCTTAGGTGATGGAGCATCAGGACAAAACCAGGCCACCTAGGTTAGATTTACTGAAATCTGCCCAAATGGCAGGGAAGACATTTTGGTCCTCAAGTTTGTGTTCATTTCAAATGCACCTTAATTTCTTTCTGAGATCTGCAGCTGTTCATGGGTTTATTTGGGGTACCTCTTCCAGACAATTTTCTTCCCTCCATTTTAGCCTTTCCTCTGGAAACCAAGCCAAAGAGCAAATAGACTACAGCAGAAAGAACCTGGGCCTGAGGTTTTCAGCATGGGGAGGGCTGAGCTTTTTGCTTGTTGTCTAATATGTGAAGTATGTATGTAGATGAGCCTGGAGAGTCTGTGAGCCATCTGGTCTACCTGATACAGCGGAGGTCTCTCTGCTGCTGTCTTATGCATCTACGAGATGTGTTTTCATTCTTTCCCAGATTCCCCTCCAAAAGAATATCATTGCCATAGAGACAGCAGAGTAAGGAAAGGACACACATCATGCCAGAAATCAGCCTTAGGAACAGCTTTATTATATATTTTACTTTCACCAAGGAGAGAAAGGCAAAAAATCTGGGGACAAGCCAGCTCCTATCACAGAGGCACAAACCAAAGACCACACACAGAGTCCAAAGACCCCTCAAACCAAATGGTTCAGAGCAGACCACCCATGAAGCACAAAGGTAGGCAGGGATCCCAAGATCCCAACTTGTGTTTCCTTAGTGGCTGTTTGAATTCAATTTTTGAAAACATTTTGTTTCAGGTTTACAAAGCACAGACCACATTACAATGTCCAAACAATTTTTTGTTAGGATGCAGAAACAAAGTTACACCATTGTGGATTTGGTAGCACCCTGGACCTCTTCTTAACACCTGCTGTAGTGGTGATGCCCAGCATGAAGCAGTTAAGTGCAAGTTGTTGTGAGGCTGGAAAGAAAGCCTTGTACTCTGAAAGATGAACGAAGGTATCCTTGGTCTTATATACCAAGGGCTAGTTGAACTTTTTGCCCCGAGAGAGCTGTGTTAGGCTTTGGTGGTCTCCCTGGATAACCACACCACTCCTGTACTAGAGACTGTCCACCAGCTGCAGAGGAGAGCACTCATTCACAGAGGTTGATATCATACAGAGAACTACCTTCAGAGGCACAGACGGAGTCCTGAAATACTGAGGAAGTCAGAGACAAGAAGGTGTATTATACAGGGATACCCTCAGGAGAAGGTCACCAGAGTGGGGGCTGGGTTGGCCATCTTCTTGACTCCAGATGGCATATGAGCAGCTACTTTCCTTTGCCCTGGGAGGAACACTTCTCCTGGACCTTCTGTGGGAACTCCTCCACACATTTTGTTTGGGCAAGCTCCTGGCATGGCTCCACACACTGCGGCAGGCACTGGTCTTGGCTTGGAGGTAGGCATGGATCTTGGCCTTGCTGTGGGCAGTTTCCTTGGTTTATCTCCTGGCACTGAGGATCGCATATCCCCTGAGCTTGGAGTGGACCTTTATCTTGGCAGGGGTCCTGACACGAGGGGACACAAACTTCTTCAGCTTGTGTTTGGCACTTTTCTTGGGTCTTTTGAAGACATGGAGGTGGCACACATGGTTGCTTGCACTGTTGATCACTGAAAGACATCTTGGGTGATTTGAAGAGCCTGAAAAATAAAAAGAAGATTTGAGATGTTTTACTCTGGAAGCAACAGTCTGGGAACTAGAAAGGTGTGAGTGGGTGGAGGATTGAGAGAGGGATTGCAGAGAAGACAACCAACTCTAATCTTGTTTTTATCCCTTTCTTTTATATCCCTAGCTCAGCTGCCTCTGACACTTGTTTCCAAGATGAAAATATTCTCTTTGCTTTTGTCTGGATAGGCATAAGCTGAAAACCCCAGTCCTACCACAGAATTTAACTAATAATTAAAAAAAAATCATCCAGAGTACATGAAACAGAACACATGAGATAGTTAAAGTGGTCTAAGAAATGGAGAGTTGTCTAAAAATAATAGTAAAAAGTATAGTCTAAGATAGGGACAGAACATTAGCCTTCAGGAGATGGAACATGGAGGGGGGAGAGAAAGAAAGAGGGAGACGGAGAGGGAGAGAGCATGCTTACCTGGTCGTCAACAGGATTCAACGAAGAATGTGGATGGTGGTGTCTAGGAAGGTAGGGACTTTTATACAGTGCTCGGTACAGCCTCCTGAAGGACTGGTGGGCCACGTGGGCCAAAGTCCTAATTGTGGAGTCACCATAACAAGCTTCATCTGAAATCACGAACCGTTTGAGTCACTGCTTGTGATGCCTGTTAATCAGCCTGCATTTTGGCCTCTGGGTTCTCACCAGACCTCAACGGGGAGGTGCTCCACTCAGAACTCTTTCATTAGAGGCAGCAGGAAAAGAATGTCCATAAAATGTTATCTGTCTGTTAAACCAGGGCTGAGGTTCCTTGTCTGCTCATACTGGTTCAGGATGTGGTGAAAGATAAGATCAACTTTGCTCATCTCATCTTTGCTAGTGGGAAGACTCTATGCCTAAGGCCTGGGGTCTATCTGAGTTAAGGACTTGTATGGTTTCTTTCAAAATTCCTACTGAATGTTCCTGCATGAAGCAGAAAAGCCCTCCATTTATTTAGTCTAAACTAGCTCATGGCTTGGCTGTACACAACAGGACAGACACTGGTCTTGGCTTGGAGGTGGGCATGGAAGTCATACCCAAGGAAGATGGCTTTCCCTAGGCTTAGGCTTCTAAGTTGAAGCTCCACAAGTTCTAAGCAGAAATAGTTTTTTTCCTGTATAAAGGCCTGGAAAAAATTAGAGTGATTTCTTGCTTTTGAGTCAGGCAATATGGTGAAGGGGAAAAGAAAAGAGGTCACTCTCGTTTTCTCAACTTTGAGTTCTGGTACCCTTTGAAAAGTAGAGCTTTTCTGAGTGATCAAGGGAACATGTTGGAACATGGAGTCCATCTCCTTGCCTCCTGAAAAACTTGTCGGATTTAGGTCAATGGAAACTAGGGGTTGGGTAGAAGGAAAAGTTTCAAAGCAATATACCCGTCTTCTCTATGCATGTCCCATTTTCCTGATGAGTAC